CCCGCTCGTGCGGGCCTCTTTCTCTTACTTCATTCTAAAGTCCAAGAAAAAAATGTCTGATTCAACATTCCGTTGTGTGGGTGTGTTAATTTTCAGTCCAGGCTAATTTTAAGGACATTGAAATGTAATCCGTGCGCTCCAGTTTCAGCTTATTAAGGGAAAGGTGGGCGAAAGCCTTTGAATCCTCTATTGGTAACAAGGCGATGGGAAATATATGGATACAATGAAACATTTAAAAAGTACGTCTATCATAATGTACGGGTTAAATAGCAGCTGTTGGGTAGTCTAAATATCAAGTATAACATAACTACTCACTTTACGCGAGTAGCGTGATTTAACTTGATGTCTATATGTCTGCCTTTTGTAGCCTGCTGGCTGTGGAATGGTGTTTTGTGCATCTTTAGTCTGCTCTTAAATGAATTAACACAGAAGGAGAGGAGAACCTGTTCGGGAAGGGCGTTCCGCGCTGCGCTTACTTTGTTACTGAAGAATTTTAGTCTATCGGTCCTTGCTTTGCGGGGGCGTAGTGTAAGGGGATGATCGCGCCATTTTGGCGTATTAGCCTGGGTAAAGAAATCGTCGAGGCCTAAGCAACCATCCATTTTATTCATAATATGGAAGGTAAGTATGAGGTTTCCACGTGGTTGTCTGTAAGGAAGGAAAAATAGGTTGAAACTTGAGAGTCTGCTGTCATAGAGCAGGGCTCCCAGACTTTTGACCGTTTTTATCTCTCGCGTCTGGACAATCGCTAACCAGAAACAGTCTTTGAAAGTAAAAGATCTCCGTGCCCATGTGGCGAATTCCAGATGCGGTCAAACAGATCTGGCCGACTTCGCCGCCTTCGTACAATTTAGCGTTGGTTTGAATAAAGAAGTAGTCCACATCCAAGCCCTCCTCACCCTCACTTTGTTGCAGCGGTGTCCCGCTTAAGGAATAACTCCTCGGGCTGGATGCTGTACAACTGCCGAGTTGAAGTAAGTACCATTAACTAACATTGAAAGGCATTAGCCAATGCTTTGACCAATCCTCCAATCGGTTCAAGTTAGCTGGCAGATTGTTTTCATCTGCCGTATTTTAGACAAATTTCATCTCCTGTGCAAAATTTCGACGAATGTGCTGAGTGGCGATATTGCTGAGATCACTCTCAGTGGACAGTGGATGCATTGTGAGATTCAGATCTGGATCATGAGGCAAGAGATGCAACCTGGTCATCGTGTGTCCAAACGAATGTGTGGAACCTATAGGCCGAGACTTTATTATTCTGTCAACCACTCATACTTGACTTATGAGCGGGGTTACTTGTAATTATTGCGGCTGTAATCATGACTGATCGAGCCATTCCATTCTCCGGCACCGAAGTTCGGGGGACCACCTCCATGTCCTGATGGACTGAGTCGAGCCAGGTTTTGAACTGATCCCCACTTCGACATTTTCAAATAGGTAACGGTTTCGTGTCGAGGACAGTAATATTGAGCTCATGTGGTTGACAGCGGACTACGTGTTCAAACAACCTCAGTCGTCTTTCTTGTATTGCCTGGGATATCCTTGTAATGTTGTCGCAGGAAGTGCCGACTGTCTCACTTGATACGAATTCGCTGTACTTCACTCGAAGTATGGTCCTTAAGCAGAAGTGGTCAAGCACTTCTAGTTTCCGTTCATCTTCCACGCGCATAGCCCAG